TAGTTGCGAAACCAGTCGAGTCGAATAATTGCAAACAGCATTTAAACACTTTTTTGCGGAAACCCATTTGCTGCAGACCATATCACTCGTAACACATCGATCGTGTAGCAATGATACTACGTACAAAAGGCAAACGCCAATTTATATTCGCAAACCTATACTTCGTACATCGTAACACTAATAAATTCACGGAAACTTCAGAATTTTATCCCCAAGTAACCTTTTCCTGCCTGGAAACTCGCCCCAAAACGGAGCTTCCCTAGCTTGCGCGCTTAAAGCGTTAAAATATCCCTCAGACAGGTAATTTCTTTGGCAGAAGTTCGACGGGAATTTATTTCGCGCTGAAACTGCCGGTGGTAGCCAGTCGAAGTTAGTTTCCTCCCAATTAGGCAGTCACGAGGACGTGAATATTAACCGACATGCTCCCATCAAGGATATCGATACCCGCGAACTTTGTTTCGGTGTTATCGACCCGTAGATCGTCAGGTTATGCAAATCGTCTGTCTTCGTTCCACTGCTAGTTCCTGTGGTATCGCTATCTCAGTGACGAAAGCCGCCAATAAAGGCAACCGCGAGAACCTCGCAATCCCCGGAACACTAGCGCCTCGCGCGCACCGAACTACGTGGACTTACGTAAGTGGACCCCGAAAAGCCGTGGGCCAACATCGGTGGTCGCGAAAGCCGTCTTTGCATTAGGAAACCTTTAATCGGCACACTGATCGGGAGTAAATCGATTTGTGGCTGTTCAACTGAAAAGTTTGTAGTAGCTTCACGTCGTTCGCTGATTTTATCGTTTAATTCTTCGGCACTCGTGTTCGTGATACGTATATGGTCACGTCGAATCGCCTAATTTGTGCGTGACAGTCACCGAGCATAATTGGTGCGATTGTTCCCTTAAATAGAGAATGAAAAATTGTAATAATTTTTTTAATTTGAAATATTGCGCTCTATATTTTATATCTTAACAAAAATAACGCATAGGCTATTGAAAAATGTTACAAACGCGTTGCAATATTCTCAGTATATTTGAATTATCGCAAACGAAGATTGTGCACGTGTAAGCGTTAAGAGGTTAAAATGGATAATGTGCTATGTACGTATTTGTCATGCGGCGTTGGTAAAACAGTAAGTGAGCAAGAGTAGTCTGATTACACTATTTGATTTCCTTTTGGAACCTACAACCATATTGGCTTTGATACATAGACCGAGCCATTTAACTTAGTAGTTGATTTTAATTGCTGGTTTTTGACCATACATAGCTTTCGATTCACCATTCGATCCTCTTTTAAATTGCACGATCGAGTGTTACTTATTCCTATTAAGAAACTCACAATCTCGATGAAAAGGACCAAATGAAGGCAAAATAACGATTATATTTTATATCTCCATTTATACAATTTATACCATTTTAAATTTGAAGTACTTTTTCATGTATCAAATGGTATATAAATAATTTTATGTAACAGATTTAAATGCACACCCTGTATATCGTCACTGTATTGCATAAAAGAGTGCACAATTGTCTCAACAAATGCAATCTGTCTTCGATACAACCAATCATTTCGCGCTCCTTTGATGAATCACCAGGACTATGCATATCGAATCAACGTACATACAATTTCGCACTCGCGCCATCTACGAATGTAGATGTCTCCGCATCGAACTACAAACGACACCGCTAGGTGGTCCGACGGGAGATCGATGAATGAGCATCTCTCATTGGAGATGCGATCAGAAATCGTTTCTACTCGATCGGCGCCGTGTTTACACCGCCACTCAGGGTCGCAAGTTGGCCAATGTAAACGCGGCTTAAGACTGCGGATAAGCCGCCGGTGTGGAGCGCGATCTCAGCGCCACGCCATAATTGGCGCGAGCGCGGCGCGGCAGCGAAGCTCGGAAAGGGCCCGCGCAACGAGGATCCGCGAAGGGGAAGAACCGAGAGAGATGGCGCTCGCGTGGAAGGGAGGAGGAAGAGCTCGGCGACTCATGAATCTCATGATCGATGCTCGCGCACGGAGTTAAAACGTGGCCAAGTTGGAAGGCCACGGGCCGATGTCCGGTAATGGTCGTCCACGGGCTTCACCGTGTTACGTGTCAGCCCGTGAGACGTTCCGCGGCAATTTACGGCTGCGTACACAGTGCCATTACGACGCGTCGTAAATAAGACGATGGCACGCCGGACGCGGCGCTGTACACACGGCTCGCCGCGATGCTTCGTCATTTTTAACGCTCGTTATGCGTGGGCGTCGTTAATTTCTGGTCCACGGTCGCGCGTTTTTGCCGCGCCGTTTTTGCCACACGGTATTTTCGAGGCCACCTCGCGGGGTGCGCCTTTGGGTCGGCGATCGGACGATGTTTGGGAGGAAACGGGCCGCGTTGCTTCGTTAACGACGAGCAAATTAGGGATCGTGTAGTTGTTTCGGCATTGGGACTGGATCTGTCTTCTACGCTTGGGTTATGTGCACGGTTATGGTTGTAGAGACGCTTCGGTGTATACTTGTGTTTCTTATTTCGGAAACGTGTAAGTGGGTGGTATCGCGGGGTTCGTGAAATTGGATTTTGTTTCCATGTCGAGGAATATGTTATTGGTTATTGGGGTTGGCTGGTGGATGACTGATAGTAATTTGGGACGTTTCGAGAAATATATGGAAATTATTTTTCGTAGTTTTCATGTATTTTATTTAAAGTATTGTTATTAAGAATGTAGAGAATATTGATTGATTAGTAATACATCGTTACAAATTTCAATTGAATTTGTTGCTATGTTAATAATTCGTGGAATAGTTATACTTGGATGATTGTGATTTTGTAATTGTTAATTAATTTTTTCCAGTTAATTTTTTGCAATAATTTTAAAAACGAAGAGATTAATAAATGTATATTAGGTGTCGAGGAATATGTTATTGGTTATTGGGATTGGATGGTGAATGACTGGGACGTTTCGAGAAATATATGGAAATTATTTTTCGTAGTTTTCATGTATTTTATTTAAAGTATTGTTATTAAGAATGTAGAGAATATTAATTGATTAGTAATACCTCGTTGCAAATTTCAATTGAATTTGTTGCTATGTTAATAATTCGTGTAATAGTTATACTTGGATGATTATGATTTTGTAATTGTTAATTAATTTTTTCCAGTTAATTTTTTGCAATAAGTTTAAAAACGAAGAGATTAATAAATGTATATTAGGTGTCGAGGAATATGTTATTGCTTATTGGGATTGGGTGGTGGATGACAGTGCTAGTATTTTGGGACGTTTTGAGAAATATATGGAAATTATTTTTCGTAGTTTTCATGCATTTTATTTAAAGTATTGTTATTAAGAACGTAAAGAATATTGATTAGTTAGTAATTGCTTTCTGCAAATTTCAACTGAATTTGTTACTGTGTTAGATGATTATGAGTTTGAAATTGTCGCTTAATTTCTTCCAGCTAAATTTTTGCAATAATTTCAAAAACGAAAAGATTAATAGAAATGTACTTCTTGTTAATAAAACTATTACCAAGTGTATTATATCCGTAATATACGATTGAAATAACTTTTTAATTCGATTTCAAGTGCAGTCAGTGGATTCGAAATACATTTTATGAATCTGACAGGGAAAGAAATGTGGGTCACTTCGGCATAGCGAAGCCGTTCCGAAACCGGTATATCCTGAAAAGGACAATAGCAGTGTCCATTATAGTCATCATCCCATAACAATCGCGACATTACAATGCGCAGCTATTCGCAACAAAAAGCAAAGTTTTTATGAAAATGATTGAATCAAATCATTACAGCATCACGTCTTGCTCGACTGCGCTCGCTATTCACGTTCCATAATAATGATTTATACTCCCTTTAATCGCTGTATCATCGCATCAACATTACCCATCAATTCATATTTCCTCGATCACTGTTCACTCGCATTCATCAAAACCTAATTTAACATTTTACAATAAACTACTGATTAAACACGCGGATACACGAACAACCGTGCAGCGATAACGATAATTAATAACACCTATCGTTACCACCCATGCAACAACGATTGACCGACCTTACAAAATGCTATTAATTACACTCAATCTCGGGACACTAATTACCCCAGTTACCGGCGACAAAATCCACCCCCCCCCCGCCGGTCCCCCGACATCCCAGATTTCCAGCGTCCATTTTCCAGCCTGGACATTTTCTTGAATTATCTCGGCCTCGTTATTGCTCCCGCGAAATTGCCTAATTTACGCGAATAAATACCAAGCTGTTTGCGAATCAAATTGTTCGCGTGGGCGGAGGACACACGTGCGCCTGGCTGCAATTACGCGTAATTGGATAATTATCGGAACGTTCGGCGAATTGTTCCAATAACCGGAATTTAAACGTCCGATGCATAATACATCGACGTGGCCGGGACGTGACGGAAAACGGCGGACAGATGGCGCGGCGGTCGCGCCGCGCTCCGCAGCGCCACGCGGCGGGCAAATGTCGGCCGTAGGCGGGATACCCAGTTTCATTACACGATTCCGCCTCTTTATTTCAATGTCCATGGCCCGTATAGTCGATCTCCATTATCCCGTGTGTCTCGAGGGTCGTAGCCGGATCGCTTGAACAAATGCCAAAGGTTATTCCCTCGTAAACTCGCTACGTTATATACCGTGCACCCCTAGCTCCACCTGGCGGCCAGAACGCGAGGCTCTTTACGGGGCTTCGTTTCAATCCGCTCTTTACGAACTGATACAAAACCTCGGAATTACGTACGCACACGCGTTCAACCATAAGTCCCACCGAAATATACGTAAAGCGTGACGCGCGCGCCTCGACTGCTTTATTCGACGGCTTATCCCGGCCAGTTCTTCCATTTGCAATCGTATCGCCGGGATTATCGATGAAGCCTGTTCGAGGATGAGCCTGGTTAAGCGCGAACCCCACGGTTCCCACAGATCCCCAATTGATCTACCGTTGTGTACACCGGGTATACACAGGGGACACGATCGGACGAGTAACTAACGACTGGCCTATGTTCTTGTTTCAGGTTGCGACACGACCTTGGAGCCCGGATCAGGGCAAGACGCGGGAGATGACCAAGCTGTGCAACCATAAGAGGAAACTTTTGCTGCCGACCACGGCGGCCGGCAGCCCTGTTGCATCCTGTACACCGGCGGTGTCCTCCTCGGCTTTGTCCGCCGGCCAGCCCGCAACCGCGATCCACGTGAACGCGGACTCGCCCACATCGCCTGACAAAGCCAGGAAAGGTAAGAGCGCGACCTTGCTTCTACCGATCCCCGCGACCGATTTCGATCAGGGCGATTGGATCTTTGTTGTAGCCGGGTCTCTGATTATGAGTTTTTCTATCTTTGAGATTTGCATAAGTTTCTTTCTCTTTACTTATTTTCTTTCGTTATTAAGGTAAATTTTATGGTTTGAGGAAAAAGAGAGGTTATGTTTGAGAGAAGTATTTTACTGTGGTAAATGTTTTAGTATCTAGGTCTGAACTCATTGAATCTTTGTCGTATCAGGATCTCTGATGATGAGTTTTCCTTTCTTTGAGAATTACATAAGTTTCTTTCTTTCTCATTTCTTTCTTTACTTTTTTTCTTTCGTTGTTGAAGTAAATCATATGGTTTGAAGTAAAAGAGAGGTTATGTTTGGAAGATATGTTTTATTGTTGTAAATACTTTAGAATCTGTGTCTAAATTTATTAAATCTCTGTTATACTGTTGTCTTTGATGATGAGTTTTCCTTTCTTTGAGATTTACATGAGTTTCTTTCTTTTTCCTTTCTTTTCTTTCGCTGCTAGGGTAAATCTTATGATTTGAGGTAAAGGGAGAGGTTATGTTTGGAAGAAATGTTTTATTGTTGTAAATACTTTAGAGTCTGCGTCCGAATTTATTAAATCTCTGTTATACTGTGGTCTTTGATGATGTGTTTTCCTTTCTTTGAGATTTGCATAAGTTTCTTTTTCCCTCCTTTCTTTCTTTTTTCTTTCGTTGTTGGAGTAAATCATATGGTTTGAAGTAAAGGGGAGGTTATGTTTGGAAGAAATGTTTTATTGTTGTAAATATTTTAGAATCAGTGTCTAAATTTATTAAATCTCTGTTATACTGTGGTCTCTGATGATGAATTTTTCTTTTTTTGAGATTTGCATAAGTTTCTTTCTCTTTTCTTTTCTTCTTTCGTTACTAGGGTAAATCTTATGATTTGAGTTAAAGGGAGAGGTAATATTTGGGAAAAATATTTTGTAGTTTGGGTCTGAATTCATTGAATCTCTGTTATACCATGGTCTCTGACAATGAGTTTTTCTTTTTTTAAGATATGCATAAGTTTCTTTCTCCTACTTTTCCTTATTTTTTTAATTCGTTGTTAGAGTAAATCTTATAGTTTGATTTAAAATGGAGATAATGCTTGGAAGGAATGTTTTATTGTCTGGGTCTGACAGATGGGGGAAGAAATTGTAGATCGTGGATAAGTTTTTCGCGAACTAGGGAAATTGAGGGCAAAAGGAGGAACGTTTGAGATTTAATCTTATGGTGGTATGAAAAATGGAGGGAATAAAGATTTGGAATTTATCGTATTGGAAGATACGTTCGTTTATTTACTTTATAATTTTTCTGATACGTGATTTTGTATCATTTTTCCATTCATTTCCTATTAATGGAGTTAATCATATAAACAGTAACACGAGAAATAGTGGGATGTGTAGCATTTCGAAGTTTAATGAAATATTTGTCGATGAACTGTCTATACCAGGAATGCAAAGTAAAATACAAGACAGGAAATGAACAAAAAGGGGGAAATATTTTTATTAAATACCAAGTTAGATTTGAAGGTAGATTTTAATACCAGAATATCTGAAATTAAAAAAATTTGTAAATCCCCATAAAGCGCGAAAAAGAGAGAGAAAACGTAATACGCCAAAAATCTGATGAAAGTGCGATAAAAGAATTCTTAATTAAATTTCATTCAACAGCGTGCATTTAATCTCACTTCATCGAAATATATATCGAAATAAAATTGATTTACCAATCTTTTGTGTAATTTCAACAATAAATTGTTGTAAATAAAGCATTATTTGTCTGATTTAAAAAATTAAAAATTTGTACATAAAGTTTTAAACATCAAATTAGAAATTTTAAACACAATAATGGCTCCCTATCGTGTCATATAAACTATAGTAAGTGTTCCGTGACGCTACTGGCAATTTATGTCAAACAAATTTTTATGGGGTTTCGCAATTTTGCTCTAGTTTATAAATGTTCCATATTAATTAAAATTTTCTTCGTTTTCTTTGAAATCTTCTCTAAAATATATATATATATTTTTAGTTTCAATACATCTGAATGATAAAACAAGCCTCCTATCTCAAAAACACAATCTTCTAAAAATATTTTCACCTTCAAATCAATTTAATTTATTAATTTTTGTTATTCTCACTCGTACTTACAAATTCGTAAGTATCAAATTTTTACTATAATCAACACTCATGCAGCTGTCATTTAAAATAAGTATAATTCATTATACAAACTTGAAAATCCAAGAAAATAGGTTTCTTCTAAAACCTATTAATTTAAAATTAATAAATAATTTCGAAGAGAAGCACCATCTATTGTAAAAATCCCATACTATTTATAAACAATTTTAAAAATTTGATATCACTTCTCCAACAACTAAATGTGTCAAACATATTCGTGGATGCAAGCATGAAACTAATTTTTCTAAATCACTGAAACGACATTTTCAGAAAAGGTCCCTATTCTTTAACCCTTTGGACTCGAAGATTTCTTCGTTATGAAGATGCAATTCGAAGCTCATCTTAGATTTTTATAAGTTCACTGCTACTCCTTATGCTAAAATTAAGAAAAGAAAATCGTGAATTTGCGTGATAAACGAACGAATAGAGTAATTTTATTTCGATGTTCTTAATATAATTATCATTACCCATTATTTAAGTTATAGCATTAAAACAAACGGTGACTGAGAGTCACCTCTCGAGTGCACAGGGTTAATAGTGTCAACAGAATAATCATACGTTAGGATTCGTTTAATATAATTATATTTATTTATATTACACAATCTTCCTAGTACCAAATCACCGTGATAATTACCATTATCCATTATTTAATTTATAGCATTAAAGCAAACGGTGACTGAGAGTCACCTCTCGAGTGCACAGGGTCAATAGTATCAACAGAATAATCATACGTTAGGATTCGTTTAATATAATTATATTTATTTATATTACACAATCTTCCTAGTACCAAATCACCGTGATAATTAACATTATCCATTATTTAATTTATAGCATTAAAACAAACGGTGACTAAGAGTCACCTCTCGGGTGCAAAGGGTTAATTTTCGAAAATTGTTGAAGAAATAATATCTACAAATATTTTTTCGCCACCACTTCTCCCACGAAACTCCTGGCCCCCCCGTTCGTTATTCAAGTTCGACGCCAATGCGTTACACGCTCCACGCCGTGCGTCATTCCAAAGCAAGATCTAAAATCACATCCTTCCCTCCTCTGTCCCAAAACAAACCTACCCTCTCCACTCCAACCCCAATCACGCACCCCACGAGTCGCTAGTAATAAATTCAAGCGGCTCCGGCAAGACACTGGCACGCCAGTCGAATAACAAACACAGTATCGAAGTAGCCCAATTAGACCAGGCACTCTCCGTCCTCTTGCCATCCATCCTCGCCAGGGAAATCGCGTGGAAAGAATTTTTCCTGCTCGCCCCTCGGTCGATCGATCAAAATCAGAATTTTCCCCCGGGAAAAGTTTCTTGGCCGCTTCTCCAACGAGCCGCGAACTCGTCGAACTCGATCGCATTATACATACTCGCCAATCAATCTCGCGTATATACCAGCCTCACCCCCGCCAGGGGTGGTCGCGACGCACCCCCGTACACATCCTCCGGCCCGTCGATATATACCCCCCCCGGAGAAGAAGTTTCCCCCATCGATCCGTCGTATTAACAAAGTTGCTGTAGCCGGTTCCGGTAGTCAGAGCGGCGCGCCATAATCGCCGGGAACGTTTATTCACCGTCGCAGCAGAAAACACGCGGCGAGAACTTTTATTGGGAGGACGACCGAAAGTTTCACCGCTGGTGCGCGCGGCGGCCGCTCGCGGCGCTACGAGCGCGCCGTGATCATTAGGGCGCTGCGAGCGGCGGGGAAAAAAGTTGCCGCGAAGAAGAAAAGGAAGGGCGAAATTGCGACATTAGCGGGGTCTGTTGCCACCACCCTTCTCTCTTTCTTTCGTCTGCTCCCCTCCCCCTCCGACCATGCGGTCCTTTTCGCGTACAGAGAGACGGCATTAAAGCGGCCGATGTCGGTGAAAAAAGGGGACGGAGGTGGGAAGCAACGGCGGCGCTAGTAGTAAGCTCGTGGACGGAGGCGTTGGCCCGGGGTAGGGTGGAATGATGTATCACCGTGGCGGCTAAACTCTCCGTCCGGATTTCATTACTAAATCCTATAACCGACCGAGCGAGACCGAGTCTTTTATTTTATTTTCCCTCTCCCTTCCTTTTTCCCCGCTTTTTCTCTAGTCTTGCTTCCACCCCCTCCCCTCGGCCGCCCTTTGCTTCTTTATTCTCTTTTTTCGTCTTTTCCTTTCTTCATCGCGTCGCTAATTAAACGGCTGTTATTCCGAGCGAGTCTGTGCATATAGCGCGGGAGGGAGCGAGAGCGAGGGGGGAGGCGGAGGAAGGGGGTGGGAAACAATGGCGCGCCTCCTGCATTGAAATTCGTCGAGTGTGTTTTGATCGCTCGCTGGTTTCTGGGGCTAAGGGATTTAAAGGGCAGCGTTGCTGATTCTTAATCGCTCGCCAACTTTCCACCTGTGTTTCATTTCTGCTTTTGTGCAACGAGTTGGGTTTTTATTCTTACGGCGGTTTCATCGTGGCTCCAGTTCGGTTGGGAATTAAGGGGTACCGAGGTTCAGAACTGGTTTCGGCTTTGTGCGATGCCAGGCTAATAATGGTTGCTTTAATTTTCATGCAGTTTGGTTATGCGCGATGCTTGCTTTCAGTGTACAGGTATTATTGGATTTTCTAATTATCCGAAATACCATCGGATGCTTCGTGGCATTGTCGTTTGATCTGCTGGATGAGACTCGAATTGTTGGCATTTTTTCAAATTCTTGCTTACAGATATTTCGTTATTAATTTATCTTTGGAAATTCGAAATACGCGGATCTGTTTTAAATTCTCGTTTATACGTGTTTCATTGTTAATCTATTTTTTGAAATTTTAAT